GTCAAACATTCTAATTTCATTTTTTCTTCGCCAAGGCGGCCGAGCGGACATCGCCGCTTGCATGCTCTGACCGCACACGTAAACACGAAACGGCCCAAAAACTACCTTCCGGAAAAGCGTCCTCGGCCCACTTCCGGTCCGAAGAAGTTATGTTTATTGGGCTATTATTAATTACATTTTTGTTTAACTAGCTTTTTAAAACATTTATGAATTTGTCATGCATCACAAAAGAAGGAAAATCACAGTTGTACTGTGAGGTAGTAGGTACCGGACTGTATCACAACCTATAACACACTTACACATTACAAAAGAGATACAAGCATAAATTCTAATAAAACATATTATATAGGGTGAGTCTTAAATACAGGGTTGCCACCTTTTGTTTTATTTTACACCGCCAAAGTGTCCAAAAGTTGATCTCTACCATGATCAATTAAAGCAACAATAGCCGGTACTTCAGAACTTAAAACCATCTCTACCAGAGTAAACGTCAATAAACAAAAATAATGTGACGTTACAAAGAAAATAAACACTCTTTTATAAGTGTGTTGATGAGGACCCAAAATCAATGCTAAAATTGCTTTAAAACCGTTACTGTCTTATTCAAAAGCGAATATCTCCAATAAAAATAAATCTATTGAGATGAATCACACAAACTTATGGGATACAAACAATCTTATTTTTATAAAACTTTTTGCATTGTATTGTTATTAAGATATATTACAGTTTACCCATTTAAATTCGTTGCTTTCACTTTAGTAGTTAAATGGATACATACAAGATGGCTCCGCGTGTTCTGAAAAAGCTCTGTATCACGATTTCTATTTGAGATTTTCACTCCAAACCTTTTTCACAATTTGTGTTTAATGGTAGCTCACATTTCAAAAATCTTTTTATAGATACACAGGGTATACATACATACAGGGTGAGTCAAATATATTTTTACTCTCAACTCTCAAGTTTTAGTTTTTCAAATGAAACGCTTTATATTTGTTTAGTTCAGTGAATTTGCTATAAAATTCCGGTTCCAAAAATACCTTAATACCATAGAGTATACTGAGTGGTTTTTTTAATTATAACCACGTCCATGGGGACGTCAATCTAGACGTCCAGGAACCTTCGTATGAGAACTTCTAATCGAGACGATCGACTTATATTCTAAGTTTATCGCTAAGAAACCGCCGTTTACCAGCTTTTCAAATTTATAATAGATTGCACCTAAGGAACGTACATATTAACTAACGGACTATAAGAAGACTATATATAAGAATCGGTTTTAAAACGTCCTTCGGCGTTGTGAAGTTTCATTAGCCATGGGTTTCGTCCATCCCAGTCTCCGTCAGATCCCTTGAGCTCATCGCCTTCTTGACACCCTCTATCCAGTTTGTCCTTTTGGTCTTCCCCATTTCCTCCTCTTTTGTGGAAGCCAGTTTAGTACCTTTTGCGTGTTGTCTATCCTTCTCACATGTCCATACCACTTCAGTTGGGCAATCTCTATTTCCTCTACTATAGTTTTCTGTCTACCCATTTTGTCCCTGATTGTCTCGTTTATTCGTACTCTATCCAGCCTTGATGTTCGTGCTGATCTCATTATCGCGTCCATTTCTACCGCCAGTAATTTTCTTTTGTTATTCTCCGTTAACCTCCATGTTTCCGCCCCAAATAATAGATTGCTCTTGATTATTGCATCATAAATCTTGAGTTTTCTGTCTTTACCTATTTCGTTACCCCAGAGTATATTATTCAAACATTTTATTGCATTTCTGGCCTTGACTATTCAAGAAGAAGATTAAATGAAGCAAATCTTATGTCAAAAAGGCTTCCGGACCAGAATTTACTAGATCTGTTGACTAGGACCAAAAGCAAAGGCATGGTCTTAATGTAAAAATTACGAAAAAATGTTAGTGTCTTCTTCGAAAGCGAATATCTTCAATAAAAATAAAGCTAATGAGATGAGCCTAGAAACAAACTATCGAGAAAGGATGTATCTAGATGATAAAATGATTTTTAAATTTCTTGCTGTTTTAATATATTCCACAGGGTGTTTCAAACTTTCACCAAAATATCAACATTTTATCTTCCGTCGTATAATTAACAGATAGAAGATAATTAATAATAAGTCGATCGTTAATTTAGAAAGAGATACTAAAAATTCAAATAATTTGACTACATACTGCTTAAAAATCATCAAAATCGGTCCACTAGAAAAAAATATATTAAACTTTAAAATACATCAAAGTTTTAAGGTGTCCATTTTTCCTGCCGGTGAATGTATTTCAAAAACTATACATTTTAGTCATATACTTTTCTAATAAAACTCGCCTTTATTTTTTACCAGAATCCAAAAATCAATTAATATACAGAGTGTTCTATTACAAAAAACACAACTTTGATGTGTAACTTTTTTTGGGGACACCCTGTACAACTCTATATAATTTTAGAAAATGCTTTAAATTGACTTACATAACCTCACAAAATTTGACTTCAATACAAACTTTTGTTCTCCTTGCAAAAACCTCGTCGTATATGACGCGCCACCCTGTATAATTCGATTTCAATCAAAATTTCAATGATTAGAATATAAGCAGAATAGGTATAGCTTATGTATTAGATTCATTTATTTCAATAAATTTACTTAGGAAACAAATTAAAAAAAAAACAAAAAATTAAGAAGGAAATAAATAAGAATTTACTAAAATTACTAAAATAAAAAATTAAAAGCTAAGGAAAAAAATGGGTAAACATTTTAGTATTTTATCTATAAAAATTCAACAATACAGAAGGTTTCACATTAATACATTGACAGTAATTGAATTCCGAGGTAAAAGTCTCTGGGCACTCCACTAATAAACAAATTATCGAGAAAAGGCAAAGACATGATAAAATGGATGGTTTTTCCATCGCATAGTTGACAGATTGAAACGTTCATTTTTAATTTATAAAAAGTCAAATGATTTCTGGCTACAAATTGCTTAAAAAGCCCATTAGAATAAAATATATTAAACTTTAAAGTATATTAAAATTTTAAGGTTTTTCGTGCCGGTGAGTGTATATTTACTGTTAGGTGTTATAATACTAATGAAAACTAACCTGGTGGCAGGTAGCAAGACAAAGTCCTTTCGTCCTCTGGTTGAAGTGGGGGCGCCTAATATCATGATAACGTTACTTAACAGTACTAAGAATGAAGATGGAAAACTGGTCATGTTGATGTTGGCGTTGACCGACGGTCAAAGACTATTGACAATTGGGCGATAGGAGTAACTTTTCCTGCCATATATTTTAATTTTGTTTTAGGAGGGACAAACAGCGTGCTCTGTTACCGTTAAACTCACATCGAAGGGTCATCCGTGTTTTTATTTGAACATTATTACTTATTTATTGGTGTTATTCACAAGTGTATGCTAATTTCGATATTGACAGAATAAATATGTAAAACTATAATTCAATTTTATTATTGTGCCAAGAGCAATAGGATATTTGCAAAAGGGTACCTATCCATCTATTCTTTTATGTTATTTATGTATTGGGGACGATAATGGTATGGTCGAAAAAAAAACGGCGTCCAGTTGGCTGGGAAATGACGATCGATGACATTTCCCATATAAATTTACATATAAAATGACAGCGATCTTTATTTCATAGCCATCGTTGACGCCGTATTTTTTCGATCATATTGTACCATATGATTAAAAATGACTGGGGCAGTACAGGGTTAGTCAACGATAGAGTAAAATCAATTATCTGATTTGTTTAGGGGTTTACAAAAAAAAATGTTAAATATAGTTATAGGGAAGGTTAAGATACACATTTTAAAAATACTATACAGAATGTAAAGGAGCTAATTTATTTATATTGCAATCGATTTCAGCTCCGGCACCGGCACCGATTTTACCGGCGTGTATGAAATATAAATGCGCTCCTAAAAATATTGCAACATAGATAATTTAAAAAAAAATATGTATGTGTAAACAATCTGTCAAATCCAGAAACAAAACAATATTTTGATAATGGCGCTAATTCTCATGACGCTAAATTAATAACTGTTTTAAACATGAAAATAATATATTGTTTTATAAGTGTGAACGTTTGAAATTGTTCAAAAACTTATTTGTGGCGTTTGAAATAAAATAGCATGTTCTATTCAGAATAAAAATGACTTTTTGTGCCTCGGCTGTCAAACATACAGTCTCGTCACAAAAAGTGTCATTTTTACTCCTAATAAAACAATATACTATATATGTAATTATATATCGAGAAACTATGGTTACGCTCGTTGAATTTGACACTTTATGTCAGTTTAATAATATATTTTTTCGTACTTTTGTGACTAGGCGTTAAAATTATTTTTTTTATATTGTCAATCACGTCGCAAAAATTAATACTTTTGTGACGTTTGAAAAAATTAGTATTATTGTTCTATTAGGAGTAAAAATGACACTTTTTGTGGCGAGGCTGTGCGTTTGACATACAGCCGATTGATGACATACAGCCGAGGCACAAAAAGTCATTTTTACTCCGAATAGAACATGCTATTTTTTTTTCAAACGCCACAAATAAGTTTTTAAACAATTTCAAACATTCCAAATAATATTAAAAGATTTAAAAGTCATACAGTTTGAAAAAAAAGATATGTATTTTATGAATAATTTCACAGTATAAGGCCAGTATTACCATAGATGGTATTACACTATCAAATTTCTTTGTCAAAGATTTTATTTTAATAGAGAATTTGACAGTGTAATATGTGTGATTTTATTAAAAATATTGTATATTAACAATGTCAATTTTTTTCATCAAATATCTGTTATCTTAAAAGATCTTTGACAAAGAAATTTGCTAGTGTTAATATACAATATTTTATAAAATTGCACATATTACACCATCAACTTCTTCATAAATAATAAAATATCCTTTAAATAAAATCTTTGACAAAGAAATTTTATAGTGTAATAGCCAAGGAAATTTTATATTGTAATAGAGGCGTACTATATATTACTCACCCTTAATTTGCATGTGCAGATGTGGATAGCCTCTTGACAATCCAGTAAAAGCTAAAACAGTTTACAGTTGTTGATTAACATCCGTAGACGATTTTAAAGTAGTCACTTTATTCAACGCGAAATACTGATTATTACTTGTAATATATTTATCAGTGGTCGAATATGTCGCATGTTCCTTGTTTGAAGATTTTTGGTTTTCATTATATACCATATAGGGTACACTATATGTAGATTCAATATATTCTTTATTATTTTTATCACTGAGATGAGATAAATTTATTATAGAATCTTTCTCCTTAGCAGTAGATGTCGTATTTCTCGTTTCATTATTTAAGCTTGTTTTTTGTGTTTCATTTATGATAGCTTCGAATAAAATTTCACCAGTACTGCTTACGTCCTCATATTCAAAATCTAATGTTTGGTTTGATTTTTCTTGCATTTGCACATCATTTTCTTCATTTTTTATAGTATAAAATAAATTCTCTGCGGTAGTAGGTAGTATTGTAGAATTTTCACCTAAACCAAAAGTAATTTGGTCTTCAGGTGAAAGGGTGTACGAAGGGCGATCGTGGGTTGGTGGTCGGCTCAGATCTTCGTAAATATAGTTCGACTGAGAAGCTTGAATTTTTTGTACAAAGTATTCTAATGCTGGTGGAAACCTGTTTGATGTTTCTATTGGCAAAAACATCTTAATAGGCAATAACGTTTTTTGAATATTAATATTGGGAGGAACTGTTGAAGAAATAATTGTGGTGTTTACCTTAGCACTTAACACTTCACTTGCATTTACAGTTATTGGAAAAGAATAATAAATAATTACAATAGAAAAAAATATCGAATGAGACATTGTGCCGTAACAAAACTAAATTGATTCTTTCGAAGTACTAGACCGGTTTTGCCGACCTCAAGCCTCTTCGCTTACTAAAAGTATGTTAAAAGAAAAGAAGGTCGACTATTTGTGATAAATAATATTCCATTAAAATACCTGTGACGTATAAAGCATGTCACGAAACTTCAAAATTTCAAAATTATAACAAATTTTATAGTGTTTTCATTACATTTTTCATAATGGAATACAATAATTTTGATGGACATCAGTCAAATGATAGTAGAAAAGTTCGATATGCATCTGGGTCAGATATAGATATTGGAGGTAGTAAAAGTAACATTATACATCTACGATACTACGAATAAAGTATATTTCAGAAGATTGTTCAGAAATATCGAGATCTTCTTTGAAGTGTATAGGAGATGCTAACAGCGATGTTTCAGTTAGTACTAGCATATTAGATTTTGAAGATCTCGATGCAAAATCTCTTAAAAGAAAACTAGAAGAATACGAATATAAGAACAAATATTTACAAAATGAAATTGGCAAAATTAATACAGAGTAAAGGATTCCGTATTGTTTATCATATCTTATGATTGCAAATTTACTTTTTAGACTAGTCAATGAACGGGTTAAAACTACCAGTCTAGAGAAAAAATTACAATTTGTTAAAGATAATCAAGAAGTATTTATGAGACTCAAAGAAGCTTATATTAACATGAAATATAATGAAGCAGCTGGTAGAAAAATGATAGAAATCAGAGAAAAAGGTATTCAAACCTGGAAAGGAGTTCTGTGCAGCTCGTGTATAGAAAGTGAAGATTTAAGACGGCAAATTGAAATTTTAGTTCAAAAATACAGCCAAGTTTTTGTAGCTTCTCCGTAAATGGGTTTCAATATATTTTGTTTGTCATTTAACACATATTATTCAAATATTACAGGGGTGAAATTGAGCAACTTGTTAATACAGTAAAATATTTGAAGGATTTGATTGTAAGAAGAGAAGAATCTTGGTCAATTAATATGGAAAGGGAGAATAAGTTACAGGTATTTGTATTCTGTATTTACATTTAATGATATTTTTACAAAATTATTGCAGCGTCATATTGAAATACTGAAGCAAGAGAACGAGTCTTTAAGAAAATGCATGGATAAAGAACCTGGCGCTGATGAACTACATAATACACATATGAAACCTGATGAAAGGATTATTGAAGAAGAGAAAGTAGAGACAATGCGAAAATGTATGGAATGTATGCATAAAGATATGGAAAAACTTAAAAAGATTATTGTCAAGTTTGATAGGAGTTTTAGGTATTTCACAACAAGAAACCATTATATTATACAGAGTTATTAACTTTATTCGGCGCGAAGTTTGTAGCTAAACGATTAGATTTTTAGATGTGAGTTTTGTGGTCGGTGATGGGCTATTAGTTTAATCCTATCGTTTTAAAGATATAGTAATCTCTATATTATTAGAATCCTTTTTTAATTTTACAAATAAACTAATAATACATATTTACAATTTATTTGCGTCTCGATAAAATAGTTTTGTTTGGATGTGATAGTTTGACAATGAGCGCCACAACGATTGAACTTGTTTCCATCGCTAACTAAGTAAAAATGTTTAAAATAAATAATTGGCTATTCAGTAATTTTTCGAAACAAGCATGTTATAGCTTAAAAATGGGGCTTTTTACGAAGTCATGGCCAACTATGATTTCCGTTTGAAAAAAACATATGTTTATGTCATATGTCAAAAGTGACAGGCTTTAGAAAAAATCGGAGAACACGCATTCTCACTAGGGACGTGATTATATACAACTTTTATCTGAAAACTTTTTGTCTAAAATAGAATATAATGGAATTAGGGGCAATTTTTAAAATAGCCGAAATTTGTTTTTTTCCAAATATCTAGTAAGCCATCAACTTTTTCAAAAATCTGAAAGATCCCACAAAACTGCAATTCTTTCCCCGTTTAACCGACTCCCTAACTCTATGTTTACTACTAAGTACTTATTTATTTAAATCTTACTTTATTTACTTTATTTTTTTTTCAGATGCGAGACACAGCAAAATCAATCTAATATAGTTTACCCATTAAACGACAAGGAAGAAAAAATTGTGCAACAACTAGTTAAAAAGTGTTCAAGTAACAGAATCATTAAACCATTTAAAGATAACACAATAATTTCTAGATACAATTCTAAAATTCCCCAGCCGATAATAGATCATGTGAGAAGCAGAAGTTTATCTGCTGATAAAGCCAATCTACCCCAACATAGACGACCGTCTAGTCCAATCAGAACATCAAGACGACGAAGTGACTCAGCATCTAAATTTGTACACAGAACACACAGCCCTGATAGAAAAACAGAATGTGCTATTATGATGATGGATTGTTTATTCGATTAATACCTAGCTTTGTTGTAGCTAACTGAATAATAAAATTAATGTACTCGCAGTTTAAAGTTTAAATAATACCTTCCAGTCCCGGAACTACTTTTTTAACCGGGGCAGAAACTTCTTTCGCAAACAACTATGTGAGAAGTTCCATTGAGTTCCATATACTATACTCCATAAAACACTCACCGGCACAAAAAACGGGCACCTTAAAATTTTTATGTATTTTATAGTGTTATACCGGGTGCGTTTCAAATGTGACTCACCCCTATAACTTTATTACTTTTTTAGATAAAAAATCAAGATTTGGTATGTAAGTATATGACATAAATTAGGATTGATTGACGTATTCCATTGTTTTCGGTCACTTCCTGTTTGACCGGAAATGACTTCAACTTCTAATTTTTAAATGGCACTCTTGGTATTTTATTACTTTATTCGATAGAAAATGACACACTGAGGGTGCAGCCACACTATCCTAAAAACGGCGTATCGGCGTAAAGGCGTAACGACCTTGAATCGATTTCCAGTAATTCTATTGGCTGAAATTTTTGACAGATGAATTTGACAGATAAAATTTCTGACAGATGAATGTTTCAGCCAATAGAATTAATGGAAATCTATTCAAGGTCATTACGCCGTTACGCCGATACGCCGTTTTTAGGATAGTGTGGCTGCACCCTGAATAGAATGACATGTTGTATGTCAACTTTTGACATTTTCGAATATGGCTTATTTGAAAGTGCAACATGCGATTCATAGCGACAATTTGACTCGAAATACCAAGTGTGTGGTACTAAATTATTCGTAAAAAAATGCTTTTTCCAAATATGCTAATGAGCCACCTTCATTCCATGTGAAAAAATTGAGATATGATTAAAAATACGATTTGGGCATCTTTTAACCAGCCAGGATAAGACACTAAAAATATTAGACGATCAAATCTATTTTTTCAATGCTCCTTGATTAAAAATTAGTGTTTTTAACACAGCCATGGCACCATAGATTGAAATTTAAAATACAATTTTGTTTTAAGCGAAAATGTCAATAGTTGACATATGATATGTCATTCTATTCAGAGTGTCATTTTCTATCGAATAAAGTAAAAAAATACTGAGAGTACCATTTAAAAATCAAAAGTTGTAGTCCTTTCCGGTGAAACAGGAAGTGGCCGAAAAGAATTGAATACGTCAATCAATCCTAATTTATGTCGTATACTAACATACCAAATCTCATTTTTTATCTGAAAAAATAAAAAGGTTATCGGGGTGAGCCACTTTTGAGACGTACCCGGTATATTGTGTTCTAGTGGACCAAGTTTGATGATTTTTTAAGAAATTTGTAGCTAAATTATTTGACTTTTTAGTAGCTTTTCTAAATTAAAAATGAAAGTTCCGATCTGTCAGTTATATGAGGAAACACAAAATAAAAAATGTCTATATCTATGTGGCGGATTCATCTTTCCAAAAAAATCCTGTATGGGTATTTCGCCACTGCACTGCAAGAAAATCTACAAAATAAAATAATTATTTTTTGTAAACACTTCTGCGTTAAACCTAAACGGACGCTGCTTGTCAGAGTTTAATGTTTTACAGGTAATACAAATTCCGTCTAAGAGAGCAAAGAAAAATGTTAACACTATTCGAGAACACTTTACTTTTTTAAAACAGATACGTCTACAAGAAAACCGTTGACGTTCTGTTCGTTGTTTTTTTTTTAAAAAGTAAAGTGTTCTCGAATAGTTGAATTTAAATATTTTAAATAGTTTTTTTCTTTATTCTTTGTATTTTTTTGCTTCCGACGACGGAAAGAGATAACTTTCTGAAACGTTAAGCATATTTTTTTGCTCTGTTAGGCAAATTTGTATTACCGTAAACATAACTTCTGACAAGCAGCGTCCGTTTAGGTTTAACGCAGAAGTGTTTACAAAAAATAATTATTTTATTTTGTAGATTTTCTTGCAGTGCAGTGGCGAAATACCCATACAGGATTTTTTTGGAAAGAAACACAAAATGTTGTTATTTTGGTGAAAGTTTGGAAATTTATTATATTTTTTTTCGAAGAAGACACTAACATTTTTTCGTAATTTATACATTAAAACCATGCCTCTGCCTTTGGTCCTAGTCAATAGAATCCGAGGATAGACGATACTCTAGACACGTTGGCGGAGTCGACAAAAGTTCTCTGCCTTAGATCTGAAGAGTGGATATTAGCAAGTAGATATGGCGCCGAAAGACAGACAGAAGACAGGATACTCAGACTGTGGCAATTTACCGTCAAGCCCTTCGGATTGTGCAACGCGCTAGTAACCTTTGAAAGACTAATGAAATCTGTATTGAACGCGACGTTCAATGAAAAGTGTGGGCGTTTAATGAAAAGTTTGGGTAACATTTTTCGTGCAAGTTTTTTTACAAGTTCGAATATCTTTGATTTGTGTCAGTAGTAAATAAGAGCGAGGAGATAAATACTATCCCTTCAATAAAGATCAAGGCGATAAAAATTCTCTTCGCACTTGATAGAATAGATGATAGAATTTGATTCATTATACGGTTTTTATCTATTACCAGTTGAATTATCGTACTCCTACCTTAATAATAATTCTGGCAATTTCTAAGTATTAAAATTTCGTTGAATAGGCGCATTCGCCATTTCGTCAATAAAAAACTATAAACTTGATTTGCAAGTTAATATTTTATTTCGTACAGAACAGAGGGTTTCTAGGATAATATAAGTGCGAGGAGATAGGTACTGTTGCTAAAATTCATCAAGGACAGATATAATTCATACAATAAAATAAATGCACAATATAATAATTTATACAGTAAACATATTATTTCAATTTATATTCTGCTTAAATGTTACATTTGTAAAATACCGTATGATCGAAAATAAAACGGCGTTCAGTTGGCTGGGAAATGACGATCGATAATATTTCCCATATCATACCGGGTAAGCCGAGTTATCTGAATCTATGTGTGGAAACACAGTGCAAGCAGGTTTTCCGCTTACCGGTAGTCGGCGCCGATCTGAGCCATTTTCTCGCGCCGAGATAGCACATAGTAAATACCGGTAAAAGCGAGAAAAAGGGTTCAAAGTGCCAGTTATGTTCCCGCAACACACGATGATCTGATCGCTTTGGATTCTGTTTTTACAAAATTAAAGAGAAAATGAGTTGGGATACATTCCCTTAATAGGAAAAGAATAACTTATGGGGAGTATTATCATAAATTTCAAAAATAAAAAAATGATAATGAAAGATTTTTTCAATACATACGATTGATTCAAAAAACTTTTAAATATATTTTTGAAAAAGTGGAATATAGATTAATCAAAAATTGATGCAATCTAATAAGCAACCTATTCTTCTAGAAGAGAGGCTTTTTATTACTTTGAGGTTGTCCCAAATAGGTGTATTTTTCAAATCCTGTCGTTATAAAATACTTATCCATATTCAAAGGCCGCGCCGCGCCGTCGGCGCGTGCAAAAGCAGAAATAAATTTTCGGTAAAAGCGAGAAAGCCGATGAACGCTGGTTGACGGCGCCTACCTCCTTTATCTATTTAACTGTGAACTAGACGATTTGACACCACGCTTTAATTTTTCAAGCTTATAAGCTGATATGATTTCGGATCATACAGTACATCCTATACATTGGGCTGGCACTTATACAAAATTCCTAAGTTTTTATTATAGTAGCTACAGATGACCGACGCACTATTGCAGGACCTGTATAAAGTAATTTCTACTATACTGTTTGAACCGTGGCAACCCCTATTTGCGGCAACTTTTTCAAATGCAACCTTATGAAATCATGTACAGAATAGAAATTGCATTAATTTAATATATAAATAATCAATGAACGTAATATCGTCTCCAAAATCAATTATTATTATTAATTAAATATATTGGCGGTAACTTTTTGATTGGCACCCTGTTAAAAGTGTATTCCCCTATTCATAAATATACGTAAAAACTAGGTTTTGGTTACTGTACTATCACCAGTGTCCAGTGTATGTACTTAGTACCAGCCGCCACTGTAAATTTTCAAAAAATACCATCACTAGTTTGTCATAAATGTAATATCTAATAAACGTTTTATTATGTATTATGAGTATCACCCTTGTATATGAAAACAAGGGTATCACCCTGTAAAGTATATAAAATAACATAATATCTATGTTATAATTTTCTTAAACTTTTTTTTCTTTAAATTTGCCATAAAAATAAAAAAAATATAATACCTATTTATATTGTTGAAAAAATCACTTTGTCAACTTCCAACAAAAAAGTAAACAGAAATTGCAGTATATTTATTTAATCTCTGATAAAATTACGTGGCAACGCTGTATTGCCGGTGGAATACGTATGCTCAACGGTGTCAACGTGACTGCTAGTGCTGTTTCTCCATGGTTTCTCCGCAATTTTATTTATTCTCTTAAATTTATAATTCTATAAATTAATTTAACAAAAGTTAACAAAGTAAAAAATATATAAAAAAATTAACAATTGTATCATAAGCATTTAATAATACTTATTTAAGTTATTTTTAACATCTAATTTAGCGTCCGACAACGTTGGAATCTGATGAAATCGATGGAATCTGAAAATCCGTCCACGTTATGTTGCATCAGTTTCATTCTGGTCAGCGTTGTATTTGGTTTAACCTGTGGTTTAACCTCCTGTTGGTGGAGTGTAAAATCGTTTTAATTCGTGTTTATTTCTCCCGGCAGTTTAATGTAAGTATCTAATTTTGTATATTATTTAATTATTGAGGTTTATTTGGACCGTTTCACTAAGTATCAAATAAAGTTAGGGTAAAATTATAAACATTATTATTTATTATATTGTTTTCAGATTTTGTAAGAAAAGAAAATGTGCGGAATCTGGGCAATATTTGGATCAGAAAATACTTTCCATATGTGTGCCAATGCTTTTTCAAAAATTACTCATAGAGGTCCAGACGCCTGGAGAATTGAATATGACAAACGATTACCGGTAAATATTTGTACACTATTTATTAGAACTACACTTTAGCTGTTATTGAATTACCTACCTAATATTACCTTTTATGTAATTATTGGGAAAACTGGAAATCGTCAGATTTTCACCAAAATTAGTATACACCCTATTTTGAGGTCGTAGATTACCAATCTGAACCTTTTTCTTGGCGGTCTCTTACCGTTTTTCAGAAAAACGTAAAAATATTTCAACATCAAATTTTTCTCAATTTTTCATATTTTTAAGGTTTTCTAGCACATATTTTGTTAGGTATTCAATAAAAAATGATGTTATTGCTATTTTCTGTTACTTTTTTATCCAATTTTATGCATAATAGAGCATAATTTGCTAAAATTAATTTGTAAACAATCTGAAAATGTTGGGTTATGTGTTTCTGGCATTTAAAGCAACGTTGCCAATGCTAAACCTAAATTTAGCGTATTTTTTTTCGCTCATTCTGGGATTACGAAAGGCGGGCGCCAGAAGAACGGCTCCTTCCCATAATTGCTATTTTACCAACGAGATCCCAGATCTGACTATTTATAACCACGAAGTTGCACGAAAGAGTTTTGATTGCATTGGTTACAACTTCTATGCGGAGGGTGTCAATCTTTTGTTGTTATATTATATCAAAAAAAGATTAACCCCCTCCGCAAAGAAGTTAAAATGGTTATAAATAGTATTTATATAACTTCTTTGCGGATATTAATCCTTTTTTGATATAATATAACAACAAAAGATTAACACCCTCCGCATAGAAGTTGAAACCAATGCAATCAAAATTCTTCCGTGTAACTTTGTGGATATAGGTAGGTATATTTAATTATTGTCGATCTCATAATAGGTAATTTATTTAAAATCCCTAATCACCCGAAAAAATAGAAGACATGGCAACGTTGTAAATCTTCAAATTTCTAGATTAGGTCTAGAATATATTTGTCTCTCTCATTCCCATTACATAAGAGAGAGAAAGAAGTATATATCAAATGTGAAACTTCCATCTGGTCTCAATTTTCTTTGTTATTTTGTTAAGAAAAGTGTTTTTCAGTAAAATTGTGGACATGTTTCTATCCCCAATCAAATGTGGCTTTTAGATGAACTATAATTTTTTTATTTTTTATCTAACAAAATAAAAAAGTTTAGGGGTGAGCCACTTTTGAGACGCACCCGGTATATTTTTGATTTCAGGATGGTTCTTGTATTTTTAGTAAAAAGGCTGAAAAATATATATTTTTTATGTATAATTATCTCTGAAACTATCGAAACATATTTACTCATATCCTAGGATTATGTAAAGTGATATGAAGGGAAGTCAAATATACAATTAAAATAAATCATCCCGATCCACTCAAACTTTTTTGAGCCACCCTGTAGATGTTAAAAATATTTTCCTGAAATAGATTCTAGTACATACTTTAGGCACAGTTTAGGTTTGCACTTAAACAAAATTCCCCAGTTTTTTTATTCAACGTACTATTGCCGGACCCTGTCTTTGTTGCATGGTATCACAGATAACACATGGTATATAAAGAGGCATATTTTAAAAATGTTTTGGTATGGTTTGGCAGTTAGATTGTCCCAAAAAATTGATAAAGTGGTAACTTTTTAAATTGTAGATTGCAGACATCATTTATTACAAATAAGCAAACAATTACAAAATAGTATAATTAAGTGAAAAATTATTATTTTCCTACTTACGGGGTATCTAGTATTTTTAGCACAGAATTGCGTTCAGTATTTTTATTTCCGGTACCATACAGTGTTGCCATGCTACGTCTCATTTACTAAAACTTAACACTAAAAAAACTTACTAAACACCCAGGCTAATAGAATAAATCCGTGAAGGAAAATTCACATTATCTTATAAAGAATATTTTTTATGGCGCCGCGGCAACACTGCATCTAATTTTTTTGTAAACGCAACACCCTATATAATATTTTTCTTTTAAATGCAGAATTAATTAAAAATGATTTTTTTTGTATTTAAAAAAAAAATCCGAAATTTTTCACCTTTTCGCAGATATTCTCGGTATTGTATTACATATAGGTTGGCTCTTTGAACAGTAAATTTTATTATATAAACTTTTTTCATATCTTTGTTATCATTGACTGAATGGTCAATCATCCGTTACCGCAAGATTGCCAAAAAAATTAAAATACCCACTTCACTGTTAGGCGATACGAAGTCAGTCGGGTTCGGGGTTAACTAGTGATAGTAGTAGGAGATATTAGCCGATTGGGCTCCTCCACATGCGCAGTTCGCTTGACCTTGACATATGTGGCTTTCAAACCTCCTTGAGTGATTCCAGAAAGAACCTTGTTGTGAGACCTTAAACGACCTTTAAGGTTGACTTTCAGATGTATTTGAAATGCGTTTGTGTACCCTTCACAAGGAGCTTGATGGACAATCTTGAACGACCTGTAAGATTGACTTTCAGATGTCTTTGAAATTAGTCACCATGAATGTTCTTCTAGGCTGCCAAGGTGGGGGGTAGTTTAACATTGTGTATATAAAGCGACTTTCATGGAAACGTATTCAGATATAGAATCTCTTGTAAAGTAACAAGTCGTGTGTATACATTCCAAAGAAACATTGTGTGGTGTATTCAAAAGTGTTTGAAGGTATATTGCGTAAAAGTTTTTTCAAATATTTATTACATTTTTTTTAAAATGAGTATTTCAAAGAATACATTTGAACAAATTAATAAAAAGCTTGAAGAAATTGAATTAGTCGAACGTAAATCCATATCATCGTTGACAGTGGGAAAAATATATATTATTAAAAATATGGTGTCGATGACAACACGTTTTGGAAAAACAATTCTAGCAACATTACACGATAAAACAAGTAACTTAACATTCCAATCATTTCTACCAAAACGTGTTGTTCAGACTTTCACAGATGATCTAGTACAGCTCATAAATAAATTCGATGATAAATATTATTTATGTTATTTAGGGCAGAGTTCGGTATTAGCTGGTGGAAATACTAGAGCCCTCCTTAATTTTGGTGTGTTGGAGTAAACATTTATTAATATAATATTAAAAAAAAATGTAATAAAATGTTAAGTAACTTGTAATAATTACATTCATTGAATACTCACACATGTATTCTTGTTAAAGATGTGCGACGTTGTCACTGAAAAGTATGATTCTAATGCATATGATGAAGGCCAAATGTTACACGTTTATAAATTAGCTGTACAATTGAGAAAAATATGTGGCGACACCCTGAAATTCCTAAATCTTCTTGGAGACAATGATGATGATGAGAAATATATTAAATACCTTAAAACCTCAATAAACTATCGTATTGGAGCACATTTGTGTGAAAAGTATGTGTATGGTAGCATTAGTCTGGATACATTTTGCTCTGAAATGGTGGAGGAAGATTTAAGAAGTTTTTTACTTAGAATTCCACATATCCCAGATGATATTTCTGAGAAATATCTCCTCTATGAAGAGACATTTTCTGCAACCATCAATCCAGCATTACAAAAAGACGGAACCAGTAGTGTCTCGAACGATGTTGACACAGTAGATAACATGGAAGTCGATGTAGCAGCTAGCCTAGGCTAATACATTTTATACCTACACATTATATATTTACCATGAAAAACAAATTGTAAAACGTCATCAATAAATATGTACTACTACTATCACCCTGTTTTTTTTTATTATATATATTTATATAAATAAGAACAATTACTGAAAATATTTTAGTTATAGTTGAATATGGCTCCTGTTAACAATACAGTTGACAAGTTTGGACGCAAAAGAAATAATATCAAAGTGCGTACAATACGTGGTGCTGCTGGAATAGGATTTAAATTAACATCCAGTGGAGATTACGACATAACTCAAAAACGTTTAACGAATGTCGCTCATCCTAGAGATAAGACAGATGCTATAACAAAACAATATATTGACAAGGAACTTGTTCAATTGAACAAAGCATTTGCAAATATATTGAATAATGATGTGGAAGAGAAAATGATGAACGCGATAAAAAAAACTGTGGAAGAAAAAACGCGAGAATACATCCAAAGGATTATCGTGTTAGAAAAAAGAGTAAATCATATTATTAAAACTGAACAACAGGGGGGTGTTACTCCACTTAATAATAAATTCATATAATAATAGTACTTCCGTAGAAAACAGTTTAGTTCAGAGATGGCGACTAACAAAACAATTGATAAATTCGGTCGTAAGAATATTCATGATACTGTAGAAGTGTTGCGCAGCATGCCAGGAATTGGATATAAATTAACACCCAGTGGTGACTATAACATTCAAGGAAAACGAAGAATGTACCTTAGTGAGCCAATAGATAAGGTTGATGCAGTTGCAATGCAATATGCAGATGATAAAATACATAAAACAGTTGAAGTGTTGCGCAGCATACCCGGAATTGGATATAAATTAACACCCAGTGGCGACTATAACATTCAAGAAAAACGAATAATAAACCTTAGTGAGCCAATAGATAAGGCTGATGCAGTTACAATGCAATATGCAGATTATAAAATACATAAATTACAAGACCTTTATACTCGTATAATAACTAAGGATTTTATGACTCTAATATTGGCAAAGTTGGAATCTGAGATAGAACACAATAAGCCCAAATACGTGACGAGGATTGCAATTCTGGAAGACCAGCTGAATAAGTTTAAGGATACTAGGCGTTTGACGGATATCTCTGAACATATATTGGCAAATGTGAAATAAAAAAATATAGTAATAAATGTAGGTTTATTTAAATAAAATACGATTTAAAAAAAAATGTGTTGATTTTTTAATAGTACAAAGTAAACATATTATAAATTTTAAATAATATCAGAAGAATCAATCCATGAGTTAAACCTGGATGGAAAGCCTAACCACTTTACATAAAATTGCTTAACTTTATTTTTCTGTCGGTTACGCAGTATTCTTTCAACTAGATAAATACCCGGGGACTTTGTCTTCTGTAATTCGGCCTCATAAAAACATCC